CGTTTTCGATAGGGACGGCAATGGGAGGATAGGAGCGGAGGAGCTTCAGCAGGCCATACGGGACCTTAGCGGAGAGACGCTGTCCGTCGAGGACTGCAAGCGCATGATCGCGCGGGTTGACTCTAACGGGGATGGCTTAGTCGACTTTGGAGAGTTTACCAGGATGATGGAGGGGGTGTTTGGATGAGCACTGCTGCTCTGGATGTTCCATGCTGCTCAGGCGCTAGGTTCCATTCCGTTATTGCTGTAAATATGCTACCGGTAGTTATTTTGGCTGTCATAATTCATATCCTACCCTAGTACGGTACTTTGTAAGCTGCTCATGGTACCTTCAAATACATTTCAGATACCGTAGCTGTCATTTGCTCGTTCACATTCCAGTCCTTCCAGCCATCTACGGTACCCAATTTTAGAGAGCAGAGGGGCTCACTGAATAAGGTGAGGTGACACCAGTTCCACAACTGGCAGCAGGAGTACGGTACAAAGGAGGTACTGGAATCCTCCCTCTTAACCCACAAATGATCCCTATTATGGTCACAACATAGTCCACATTAAAACTATGTTTCGAAAATCAGTCTGGGACCGTACCAGCACAGCACAGGACCCAGCCGCATTTCCAGGCACATGGGCCAGGCAGGCACATGCCCAGACACAGTATCCAGGCATTGCACTGGAGCAATGAACCACCGAGGCATGCCAGACCAGATGCACAGCAAGGCCCTCTGGCACCTGTGACCATACCACCTAACCTTCTCAGACTCTACTGCCAGCCTACAATGCACACCACAGCATGCAGAAGGAGGGCGAGCCTAGAAAAGCAAGGGGTGGGGTTATGGTGTGGTAGGGTGGACGTCCAGGCATGCTGCACAGAGGAGCATTGGAGCATGGTGGAATGTTGGTGCGAGGAGTGTTGATTCCTGCAACATCGAGGCGCCAAGGAATGAACTGTGTGGGTGCTGCTCAGAAGATGGGGAATCTTCGGGTGGGTGGCTGCTGCGGCTGCTGAGGGTTCTCTTGCTCCTCACCCTGGTGTCAGGAGGAACGTGGGAAAACATCGGTGTCAATGCAAGCATTGTTTGCCTGTCATAATGCGGATGGGGAAGGGCGTGAAAAGGTCTGGGCAATGGCCTAAGTGAAATAAGGCTGGACAGAAATGCGGACAGCAGGGTGGGAGAAACCGGCGTGAGAACTGAATGGGGCACATGAACAACAGAATGGGCGTGTGCTTGAAGGCACAGGCATGCGAATGGAAAGTGAATTTGGTGGGTAAGTATGGGAGCGTACAAAGGAGGTGTCCTCAGCAATGCCGAGCGGCAGATGGAGAGGCACGGCACGGTTATGCTGTAACACTCGCAGCTTGCCCTCCTGCACGGATAAGTGAATGCAAAGAAATGGGGGAAGAGAAGAGGAGGGAAAAAGGGTGAGAGAGGGAGAGAAATGGGGCCGAATAGCTTGGATACGTAGATGCAGACGAGAAGAAACATAGTGTGCAGACTGTTATGTGCGTAGTGCAGGCGCAGAGAAGGGCTGTGTGAGTATTGCGTTATGTGCATGCATGCCCATGAGCAGCATGCCTGGTTAATGTTCACGAATTCAGAACAGCGAGGCACGTGGAGGCTGTGTGCAATGATGCAACGAGCACTGTGGGGACCGAGAGGGGGATGACAATCACGAGAGAGGGGTGCAAGAGGAACACGAGAAAAACGTGAGCAGAGGTGGAGAGGATTGAGAGGATACCTTAGTGCCGTAGACCAGCCCCCCACCGACTTGAGGATGGAAACAAGCCACGTTGACCTGTATCAGTGGACAGGCAGGCATGCAGAGAGGAATGCAGGGAGGAATGCAGGGAGGAATGCAGGGAGGAATGCAGGGAGGAATGCAGGGAGGAATGCAGGGAGGAATGCAGGGAGGAATGCAGGGAGGAATGCAGGGAGGAATGCAGGGAGGAATGCAGGGAGGGTCCAGAGATGGTAGCTTGGCAACGGAACGCCCAAACAGCTTACTTTGAGACGGAGTGGAAAGCACAGCCTAGGAAAGGGTGTGAAGAGAAGGAGCCTAGGCAGTGAGGCTGGAAAGGGCCACAAAGAGACGATGCTTGCAAGAGTAAAGTACACTTGTGGATACGTGGTAGAGGGGAAGGGGGAAACGGAACAAGGCTGAAAGAGTGCAAAAGAGAGCAGCAAAGACAGAGGTAAGGAGAGGGGTAGGGGGGCACTGGAAGGAACAATCGACAGGCAGAAGAAAGTGCAGGAGGAGGAGAAACCCTAAACCCTGAACAATCAAGATGACTGACCTCATCTTCCGCACTGGCAAGGATTTGCACTAGTGACATGTCAGAGACCCGATAGACCTGCATGCACCATGCACCCATGCACCACACGCCCATGCACACATGCACCCACGCATCCACCCACCCAGGCACCCACCCATCCACCCACCCACCCATGCACCCACGCCCATGGACCCATAAAGAATGAGCACATAGAGCCAGACAATCACAGTGCAAAGCAAGCCAAGGAGTCACACACACACACACGGGCAAGCACAATGCATGCATGAGAACAAGGGAAGGGACGGCGACAAACAAAAAAGGTGAGAGAAGGTGCGGGAAGACAAGCGAAGGGGAGGGATGGGCACGAAAGGGAAGGGACGGGGAGAAAAGGGGCCGGGAATGGACCTCGAGAATGGTGTAGACGGGGACGATGGAGGCCCCATCCGCTACCAGGCTGCGCAGCAGAGAGCCATGGCGTCGCCCGTATGCCAGCAGCAGATGGCAGGACGTGGGGGAGAACTGCCGCACGCAGGGGGGAGGAGGATGCAGGGCGGGCATAAGTGCCGGGGGGCGCGGCAGGGCGGAATGGCGTGGGGAATGGAGATGAGAATCAGAATGGGATTGGAAACAGGAACGGGAAGAAAACCAGGAGTGGGAGCGGGCGCGGGAGCGGGTGTGGGAATGGAAATGGGAACGGGAATCGGAACGGGAACGGCAAGGGACACTGGATGGCGGCAATGGAATGTGGGGGGAGTGCGGTTTGAGCGACCAGGGACAATGAATGGCAGTTTGGACTTGAGTGGGTGGAGCGATGGGGTGTGGTGTGAGTGGAGCAGGCCGTAGGTTACCTGGATGGATGTGAGGCAATGTGCTGCTCGTATGGCTCGACATGCAAGGACTTGCCCGAAGCTGTAGGTTGAGATAAGGCATATATGGCAGGGACAGGGACAGGGACAGGGGCAGGGACAGGGACAGGGGCAGGAACAGGGACAGGGACAGGGACAGGGACAGGGACAGGGACAGGGACAGGGACAGGGACAGGGACAGGGACAGGGACAGGGACAGGGACAGGGGCAGGGACAGGGGCAGGGACAGGGGGAAGCACAGGAGCATGGGCGGAGGAAGGGGGATGAAACTCGATGGCACCGTAACAACGCATGGATACTCCCACCATAACAACACACAAGATCGCGAATCTAAGAATGCGCAGAAAGTAAAACCAAAGGAATAGAGAACAGACGAGGAACCCGTTGACACACAGCAATACCAGCGAAAGAAAGGCGGGAACGAGGGGCAGTGCAGTGCAGAAAAGCGCGGGGAGAAAAGGACAAGTAGGGCAAGGAGCCAGGGCCGAGAGGGGAGGCAACGTACGTGGCATCTTCCAAGGAGTAGACCCTGAGCTCATAAATGACCTGATGCGCCACTCCCGCATTGCTGCTGCTGCTGCCCGCCCCTCCACTGCCCCCACCACGACCCCCCCCTGCTCCCGCCCCTCCCCCTCCCCTTCCCCCTGCCCCGTCTTGCTCCAAATTCCCGCTAGCTCCACTAGCCCCTGCGTCTTTGCCCCCTCTTGACCGCCGTATCGCATTGCCCCCCACTCCCCCTGATCCCCCCCCGCTCACTGCCCCCCCCCTGCTCCCCTGCGCAGCTGCGCCTCCCCCAGTTGCTCCCCGGGCATCCAGGTCGTTCCCCCCTGCTGCAGCAGCAACAGATGGTCCCTCCATCCTCCCGCCCACTGCTGCTGTGTTCCCAGCAGTGCCGGCGCCAGCAGAAGCAGCAGCAGCAGCAGAAGCAGCAGAAGCAGCAGCAGCAGCAGCAGCAGCAGCGGCGGCAGCTGCAGCCCCTCTTCCCGTCACCCAGGCTGCGAGTCGAGACGTGGCAGTGGTCACAGCTCCCATTCCCCCCCCCACGGCCAAACCCACCGCCCCACTCACCCCTGCCAGCCCTGCTCCAATCCCCCCTCCTGCCCCTCCACTTGCTCCCCTTCCATTTCCCAAGTCCCTGCTCCTGCCCCCAGCAGCACCAGCAGCACTCTCATCAGCGTTGGCAGCAGGTGCATCAACAGCAGCAGCAGTAGCAGTGGTGGCAGCAGTAGCGGCAGCAGCAGTGGTTGCAGCCTCCTGAATCGCTGCCCCATCTGCTGCTTCGGCTGCCACTACCCCAGTAGCACCTGACGGCACCTCAGCCTCACCACCACCAGCGCCCACATCAGCAGCAGCACCACCATCCGTCCCCACAATGCGCGTGTCCCCCTGCCCCTGGCCCTGCCCCTGCCCCTGCCCCTGCCCCTGCCCCTGCCCCTGCCCCTGCCCCTGCCCGTGCTGCCAGCCAGAGTTCACTTCCAGAGGGGAAGGGCTGCGCCGTCGTTCCCCTGGAGACATGCGGGCTGCCACTGAGCTGTTGCTATGCACCGCAGCATCACCACCCGCCGCCCCTGCTGCTACACCTGCTCCTCCCCCTGCTACTACCGCCCCACCACCATCCCCTCCCACCGATCCCCCTCCTCCTCCTCCTGCTGCTGCCAGCCCTGCTGCCCCTGTCGCTCCTGCTGCTGCCCCTGCTGGTTCCGACGCTGCTGCTCCGACCCCCCGGCCTTGCATCCCACTACGACCATGCAAAGAAGACGCACGAGCAGCAGCGGTGGCCGCTGCGGCGGCAGAAGCAGCGACTGCTGCAGTGGCGGCGGCTGTGGTTGTGGCGGTAGCAGTGGCAGGGGCGTTGGTGGGTCGAGAATGGGAGGAGGGGTGCTGGTTGGTGGTGGAGGAGCGAGCTGCGGTGGCAGCGGCAGCTGCTGCAGCAGCAGCAGGCGGCACGCAGGCTACACAGGCAGCAAGGTAGCGGCCACAGGGAGAGAAGTGCGCACCCATTTCACTGGGGGAGGGGGGGAGGGAGGATTGACGATGAGAGGGCAGTAGGCGGGGGTCGGAAGGGTTGGATGGAAAAAGGGCCAAGAGGAGAGGGAGAGGTTGCAAAAAAAAAAAAATCGCGAATTGGTAAGGGGAAGTGGCATGACAGGAGAGTGTAGGCACATTAGTGTAGTACCTTGACCAATCACCTCGCACATCCCACTCCCATACACCCCACACACGTCCACACGCCCACACACCTCCGCTCATCAACACAGCCTCCCCCCGTCCCGCACACGCCCACGCACGTACCTGCAGAGCACGGCGTGCGGCACAGTGAGGCGGCAGCTGTCGGGGTCGAGGGGACTACTGGGGCGGCTGATGTGGTGGCGCCACACCTTGAGCTTCACCGTGCAGGGGATCTCCGGCGTCGGCTGACTCGCCTGCAGCAGCGGGTGCTGCAGCTGCGCCAAGGGAAACCGCTGCACCTGCTGCGGCGCTGCCTGGGGCTGTGCCTGCTGTGGCTGTGTTTGGGGCTGTGCCTGCTGTGCCTGGGCCTGCTGTGCTTGCTGCTGCTGCTGCTGCGGCAGAGGTGGCTGTGCCTGTTGCTGCTGCTGCGGCTCTGGCAGTGGCTGCTGCTGCTGCTGCTGCTGCACCGCCATAAGCTCCTGTCCCACCTCTGCCTGTGCACCCTCCACATCTCGTGCAGCACCAGTGCTGTTGCCCCTGGTCCCCACGCTCAACCTCGCACCACCTGCCGCGCTGCCCTCTCCTCCCTCTCGACCACCACCACCACCATTCACATCAGCACCATCATCCTCTCTCCCCTCACCACCCACCTGTGCGCTTGGCCTAGAGCCTCCTGCAGCCTGCTCTACTTCCGTTGCCGGGGCATGAGCAGCATGAGAAGCATGCGCAGCATCGGCATGCGACCCACGCAGGCACACAGCGCACATGCTCTCTGTCACTGCCTCGCATGCAGCATCCACCCCCCTCTCTGCTGCTGCTTCTTCTGCTGCTGCATCCGCTGCTGTATCTGCCACTGCTGCTTCTTCTGCTGCTGCACCCACTGTAGTGGCACCTGCGGCAGCATCTGCTGCTGTATCTGGCGCTGACCGTGCTGCCTCTACTGCCACTTCTGCCCCTGCTGTAACTGCATGACTCTGTGCTGTTGGTACACCAGCAACCACAGCGAGATCACCAGAACCCGACCTTCTACCTCCCAAATCCTCACCTGCACTGTCTGCTTCATGCCCCTCGTCCCCACTCACTCTCCCAACCCCTCCATCGCTACCCTCTCCACCCCTTACTCCACTTCCTCCTCCAGTCTCTTCCCCTCTTTCTTCCCCGTTTGTCCCCCGTGGCTGGTCCCTATCGCTCTCCCTCTGTCCATCCCTTCCCGGAGCATCCTCACCAGCACCGCCGCCTCCCGCCACCTCCTCCCTATCACCACTCACAGGACCCATGTCCCTTGCCCTCCCTCTCCCCTCCATATCAGCCACGTCCGCAGCCACGTTGGCAGCCACGTCAGCAGCCTCAACCTCATCCCTGCCCTCAGCAACACTCCCACGCCATCCACTCCCACGCGCCTCCCCCACTATCTCCTCCCTCCTCCCTCTCCCTTCGCCTTCCCCCCTCCTCCCCACCACTTCCCTTCCTCCTGCCACCGTTCCATCCTGCTCCCCCCTTTCCCCTGGACCGCCATTCCCATCACCTGCTGCAGGCCTCACAGCATCAACCCCATTCACCTGTCCTGCACTCACATTCCCTACCATCCCTCCCCTTCCACTTCCCTCCGTCCCGCGTGCCCTCCCCAATGCCCCCACTCCTGCCCCTGCTGCCCCTGCAGCTTCCGCACCCAGCCCACCTGCTCCTGCCTCTCCCGCTCCCCTCCCTCTTGCCCCTCCCCCACCCCCGCCCCCAGCCGCGCCCCCCGCCCCGCCCGTGCCCCCTTCCCCTGCGCCCGCCATCCAGAACCAGCTCTGCCATTGGGCGAGGGGAAAGGGGGGCGTGGCGGGGAGAGTGACCCCCGCAGTGGCAGCAGAGGCGGCGAGGGTGGTGTCTGCAGTGGAGGGGTTGAAGTGGAAGGAGGGCGGCTGGTAGTGCACGTAGCCCGAAGAGAGTGCTTCTGTGGGCGTGCAATCTGCTGAGTCCAAGTCGTTCACCTGACAGGGGGAAAGGGGCGACGGGGAGGAGAGGGGAAGGAGGGGGAGAGGAGGAGCGGAAGGAGAGCAGGGGGGAAGCAAAGGGAGCCGGAGATTGAGAGAGAGAGAGAGAGCAAGAGGAGAGACGAGGCGAGCGGAGGAAAGGCTGCAAAGCAAGAGTGCGACCGTTGGAGAGAGGAGGAGCGAAAAGGAGCAGTGCAGTGCAGGGCAGTGCAGGGTGGGCACACCTCAGCGGTGAGCAGCAGAGGAGCGCCGTGCGGGTGAAAGTGCACAGCTCGCAGTGACCTGCGCGTGCGCAGCACCACACACGGCTGTGCCGCCTCTCCTGAACGCGTGTACTGCCATATGTACAGCTGCAGGGACAGGCAGGCACAGCACACAGACAGACAAGCACAGAACACACGCACAGGACACAGACAGACATGGAGAGAGAGGATACCTAGAGCACACAGCGAGCAGACGGGAAAAAGGGAGATGACAGATAATAAGGTGCCTCAAAAGACTGCCTTCCATGGCCATGTGTAATGCCATATGTGCAGCTAATGGTTGCAGGGCGCACCTTGTGGCCGGACGCCACGGCAAGCAGGTCCCCAGACGCATGAAAGGCGAGCGATGCAATGGGGCGATCTGACACACACAGGGGGGTGGACAAGTGGGGGAAGCGCAGGGGGGGGGGGGGGGAGGGCAAAAAGGGGGGCAGGAACGGAGGGGAAATGCGCATTAAGGGATAAGAGGGAATCGTGCGGCTGTTGTGCTGTGAATGGTTGTGGGCACAAGGCAGGGGATTGCAACTAGTGGCAAAAGTACGCTTGCATGGGATGGCATGAGGCCAGCAAGGGGAGGGGCGAGGATGGGGAGGGAGATACGGAGCAAGAGGCAGCTAGGCGATGAAAATGCAAGGAAGGCGGGCAGGCGTAAGGCAATGGCAGGGCAAGAGCGTGCAGAGACGAGCGCGAAAAGGAATGGGAGCGGGAGTGGAAGTGGGAGGGGGAGCAGCAACGGGAGTGGGAGATAGGGTTGAGCAAAAAAACGAACACCTGTTCGGTTCCCCTCGAACACGTTCGAGGCGAACCGAACAGGTTTTTTTTTTTCGCTTAAAGTGTTCGCCAAACAGTGTTCGAGGTTCGCCCGAACACGTTCGTGTTCGGGCCGCTGCTGCAATTTGCCCCGCCCGAACACGCCTTCACAGGCGAACGGCGAACACCTGTTTTTGCTAAAAGTGTTCGCCGAACCGAACAGTGTTCGGTTCGGCAAACGGATGTGTTCGTGTAGGGGCGAACACAAACATGTTCGTGTTCGTCGTGTTCGCCCCTTGCTCATCCCTAGTGGGAGTTACATTGGGGCCAAGAGTTGGACTGGGAGCAAAGAAAGAGTGGGAGCGGGAGCGGGGGAGGGAGTGGGAGTGGGTGCAGGAGTGGGAGCGGGGGGCGGGTGGGTGGGGCGTACAGAAGGGGTGGAAGGCGATGCAGTGAGCGGTGTCGGTGTCCCACAGGCGCACCTCATGGTCCAGACTGCCACTCGCCACCACATGCGCTGTGCGCGGGTGGTACCGCACCTGCTCACATGCCATGGCGGGGCATAGCGTGGTATGGCACACAGAGGCGCATGGCATGGCAAGGCAAGGCTCAGTTCTCCCAGTTCTGAGAGATTGCCTTGGAAACGGTGCAGCGCGGACGGGAAGCAAAGAGGAACCAAGGGGTGCTGTAGCAGACCTATGGTGACAGGGTACAGGTGCAAGAGCGAGAGTGCACGATGGTGGGAGCGAGCAGGGTCGGGGTGCATGGGCGCGGGGGCATGGCATGGGCGCGGGGGTATGGCATGGGCAGGCGCGGGGCCATGGCAAGGGCGGGCGCGGGGGCATGGGCGCCTGGACACGAAGCATACCACCCAGGGCGTGCGGCGGTGGCCTGTGAGCGTGCGCAGGCACTTGCTGGTGGCACAGCTGATGATCTTCACCGTGTGGTCGCCACTGGTAAGGCGCGGATGGGTGGAATGGGGTGGGATGGGGTGGGCACAAGACGGGGGAGGGGGCTGAGTGCATGGTATTCAAGGGTGAAATTGAGTGGCAAAGACTGGAGGGTGTCAGCCAATGAAGAGCGTTTTTGGATTGCATAAAGGTGAAGCTGGGGCGAACGATGGATGCATAAATGCGGCAAGGCAACACTCGCGTGAAGTTGCTTACTGTGTGGAGGCCAGGGAGGCGCCATCGCTGCTGAAAGCGGCGGCGATAGTGGAGCGCGGGGCAGGGTGCAGAGGGCAGTACTGTGCCGAGTAGCGGATGAGAGAGTCCCGCTCCACCCTGACACATGGCAGATTAGGGTTTTGAAAAAAACAGAATGTCAAGTAACGTGGTAGCTGGAAGCAAGGTGAGAAAGGCTATACGGGGACTTGGGTTGGGAATACAACGATACGCAAGCAATGCACAGAAAATGCACAGGCGAGGCACGTCTCCCACGGAGCAGTGAGCTCTCATCTCACCAGTGGGCCAGCATAACAGCACCGTTCACCCGACTGCTGCCTCCACTGCCACCTGCACTACCCGCTGCTGCGCCCACGCCATCTGCCCCTTCCTCGTCCTGCCTAACAGCTGCTTTGCCGCCATCCGCCCTGGCAGCAAGTTCCGCCTCTGCCCCCACGGACCCCCGTCCTAAACCTCCGGCTCCTCCCCCACGGAGCCCACCCCCTCTATCGCCGCCGCTTCCGCTTCCGCCCCCCCTGCCGCTGGTTGCGCCGGTTCCGCCAGGCCCCGGCAGCGTGCGCGGGGAGTCGGTCCACGGGCTGCAGGGCGCGCGGCGGACGACGGGGCAACACTCGCGCAGCGCCAGGAGCTGCTGCACGTTGCGCGTGCGCCTGTCGGGAGAAAGGGACGAACGCAGCGAAGAAAACACGAGCAAATACACAATCACGAGAAAATGTGATCGGGCGCAGTGCGGAGAGGTCAGTTATGAGCTGGTGAATCGACGGCGGGGAGAGCAGGAATGAGCGCGAGCGGCGATAGGGAGAAATCTCGGCGGGGGATGACAGGTACGGAAAGACTGTGAGAAAAATAGGCCGGTGGAAACTGACTCCGCAAACACAAGGCTAGGTAGGTGACGAAACCCACAGCGCTCTGGACCAATTTGAGAAAAGCCAAGTTGCGAAACAACATACACATCCAACACGCTTCCTCAATACCTCATTATTTCCTCCACAAACCCTTGCTTCACCCTTTCCCCCTCCTCCCTTCTCTCCCAGCCCTCTCCCAGCCCACTCCCAGCCCTCTCCGCCCTCTCCGTCCTCTCCGTGACCGACTAAAGCCGCACGGACGTAGCACGCACCTTCGCAGGTGCGTACGATCCGCATCCGCAACGTTCGGCTGGCTCGATGTCGTCGGTACCGCGGCTTTTAACGACCCCCACCGGGGCTCCAGGTCTCCATCCACGCGATCCGCACCAGTGACCGTTGGATCCACCCACGCAGCTGCTGCCGTGGCTGCTGCTGTTGCTGCTGCTGCCTCGTCGGACTGACCATTCACTGGCCGCATCCTCTGAGCTTACGATTCTTCCCCTTTAGAGAAAACGGTTTTTTTGCGAAACTCCACCTTAGAGCTGTGCTAAATCCTTGTCACAATTCCTGTCCCTGCCTCTTTGGTTACTCGAAAAAGGAAAAGAACTCTGCTAGGCTTTTCCGAAAAGAAAAAGCAAGACGCCTGATTCGATCTGACGGTCGAGACTTCTAGTACGGAGATTTCTCTTGCCTCTCCAGCACGGATCGTGCTCAAGGTCAATTTAGGTTGTGATCATCGCTCTCGGTTCCTCCCGCCTAATACTAACACCTCTCGGCCCATGAGATCGAAATAAAATGAGTCTGAAAGCGCAAGACGGGTTCAGAACGTAGGATCTTAACAGCAAACTTAACGCATTAACTAAAGCAAAAAGAGGATGTGTGCTCGACAGTAAACGCTGTGCGAGTAGCGGTCTAGTCTTCTAATCTCCAAGTCCTCAAGATTCGCGTGAACACAACACTGAGCGAGTAAGCGTTCGTGCTGTGTGTGGGTGGAGTCCGGCTGGAAGAATTTCAACTGCTCTGGTTCAGTCCACGAGGCAGGCAGGCCATGGGCCATGGCATGACACCGTATCGAATGCTGCTGGTCATGAGATGGGAGGGATGCTGCTGGCTGGCGTGCAAGTGGAGTGAGCGGGTTGGTTGGCAAGGGAAACGGTTGGGGTCTGAGTGAGCTGAATGAACCGAAACCAGACACGACTACGTCACCCTTGGGATCTCATCTCGTATGTAACATTCCTCGTAGACACACTTCGTTAACAGGGGGGAATTTTTTATTTGAAAATATATGCGTACCGCCATGTTGTTTGTTTCCCAATCTCGATATTAAATGCAAACAACTCCTAAGAGAATGTATCAAACCAGCTACAACATCCGGCCATCACCGCAACCAACAAAGGTTGTTGCAACCACAACCAAGCCAGCAAACAGGATCTGTCACTCACTATACAACCCAGCAAAAGTTAGTCAGTAGGTGAAAACAGCGGGTCACTTCAAACTACATGGCACAAAGCAACAAACGATAAGTGTAAACGCTCATACCAAACCCTTGTTCTCTCCAGGCCCTGTCACGCTGCTGCTGCGAACAAACCCTGCTGCTCCACCAGACGCAGCAGAACGTGGGCGAGTGCCCCCCTCACCTCCCGCACCTCCTCCTCCTCCCCCTCCTCCAGCCGTTAAAGGCTCCATGCGCACATAGGTAGCATCAAAGGACGTTCTGCTCCGGGGCACCACACTGCGCAACGCAGACGACCACGACATGAGCCCTGCGGCTGGTACATCCCCCGTCGATATGCCATAGGTGGGCGACACGCCAGTGTGGGCGATGGAGGAGGAGGAGGAGCCTACAGGGGCAGCAACCCGTGCAGAAGCCGCACCAGCACCAGCTGCTGCAGGAGATGCTTCTGAGTTAGCCCCACTGGGTGCGGCAGAAGGGGGGTCTGTTGCAGATGAGTCGGTGGTGGAGTGGAAGGGGTTGGTGAGCAGGCGCCGCCTCTCATCAGCCTCTGTGTAGTCAGAGAAGGCAGACGAGGTGTCACCGTCACAGCTGATGCTGTGCCTCCCAGTGCCCTCTGCTAGGTCACGTGGGCTGAACGCTGCTGCTGCCGCAGCTCCCTTGCCACCGCCAGCCCCACCCACAGCAAACGCACCAGCACCACCGGCAGCAGCAGCGGCGGCGGCGGCAGCAGAGCGAATGTCGCTGAGTTCGGCTTCCTTTGCTGCTGCAGCTGCTGGGTCCTCTGCTCCCTGCGTCCACCCGTCAATGATGGCTCGAATGGCGTCGTAGCTACAGGGAGAATCACGAAGGGTAGAACACGGCCGGAAGGAAAAATGAGATTCAGGTTAAACTGCGATGCCCTGCAACCGTTTGCATTAGAATGTTAGGACTTTAGGGGCATGCAGTGATCAGGGGTAAGATCCAGGAAAGGGGGCTCACAGATGTCAGCGCAAAATACAACGAGAGAAAAGAGGAAATAAGTTTCGTTTTTTAATGAATAGACATCATCACAGCAGCAGCAGCAAGAGGAGCAGCAGCAGTAGAAACAGCAACTGACGGCGTGTTGTGCATGACAACACAGCCACAGGCAGGCAGGCACGCACCCTGCAATGGATGTCTCAAACTGGAAGCTTCTGGTTCGCTTGCCAGTACCAGGCGGGGTCATGCAGATATCCCGACTGCCTTCTGCCACCTCACTCCCTTTCTCTGTCTCTGCCACTCCACCCACGCCTCCTCCTGCCGCTGCTGCTGCCGCTGCCGCTGCGGCGGCGGCTGCTGCTGCAGCTATCAGTTTCCTCTCCTCATCCCTTTCTAGGAGCACCACCTCCCATGTCTCCAACCCAAGCTCAACTGCTGCCACATCCTCAACACTCAGGGAAACCATTGCATGCTTACTCCCTTCCTGCTGCTGCTGCTGCTGCTGCTGCTGCTGCTGCAGTTGCTGAGGTTCAACCCCTTGTTCTTCCCCAGGGCGCTCAGGTGCTCCTGCGCTTGTCCCTGTTGCAGCTGCTGATGCTGCTGCATTTAGCAAAGGATCAACTTCAGTGTCCCCACCGCCCACAACAGAAAATGGATGCGTGACGGTGCTTTCATCTGCGCTTGCTTCCGACTTATGCTGCTGCTGCGCCTGCTGTGGCCTGTGCTTGGAGGGAGCAGCAGCACGGGGAGATCCTTCAGGGGAGATCACAGTGGAGTAGCGCGGCTGCACCACCACAGGCGCACACAGCGTGCTCACAGCACCACCACCACCACCACCACCCTCACTCACCGCATCACCCTTACCATCAGCACCAGCATCAGCATCAGGTGCACCAGCAGCAGTGAGGTTGTGATTTGGAGAGCCATGTGATCCCTCAAGAAATTTCACATCTGATGATGCTGCCACTGGCGCTAGTAATACTCCTTCCTCTCCTGCCCCTCCCCCCTCTCCGGCAGCAGCACCAGCAGCGTCTATGGATGGCTGGGTGGACCCTGGAAAATCCGATTTCGAAAATACACTCTTGTTGGGGGTGCGAGGAGTGGAAGAAGCGGATTTACTCGGCCGTTTACCAACCCCACCCCCCTTAACAGCGGCAGCACGGGTTTTGGGCGTGCGCGGCGTGGTGACGAGCACGGGGCGCTCGGGCACACGCCAGAGGTCGACAAAGTTGGTGCGGCGGATGCGGAAGGGCGCTATGCCGAAGTCAATGCATGCCGGCGAGAGCGTTATGGTCGCCGCCACCTGTCGGGGGGGGGGGGGGGAGAGGGGAGAGGGGAGAGGTGAGTGGGGGATAGAAGTGGGAGAGACAGAGGCGAGAACGGCAGCAAAAATGTCATGTTTCACTTGCGCGACGTTGGTTACGGTCACAGCGGCAACAGTAGCAACGGAAACAAAGAGGTTGCTGAGGTGTGCTTATAGCGAGTGGTTGGCTTGGCACGCACGCGGTGGTTGGCGAAGTGAATGTAGCACGGGAGCCCGTGCAAGGACGCCGATCCTCCTGCACCTACTGCTACCGCCCCAGCGCTGCTGCTGCCGGCAGCGCGAGCAGGCGATACCACACTCGCTGGAGCTGCATCGGCGGCTGTAGCGGCTGTAGCGGCAGCAGCGGCAGCAGCGAGGGCGTCATCAGCCGGCACGGCAATCTGGAGCCCGCCGAGGCCCATCCGCTCCCGGAACGACCCGCTATTACTCCCGCTCGCGCTGCTGCTAGCGCTCGCGCTGCTAGCGTTGCCGGCGCTCGTGGTGGTGGCGCCGCCGCCACTGCTGCTGCTGCCATGAGCCGACGCGGTTTTACCGAGTACCCTGGCTGCTGCAGGCTTGGACGGAGATGGAACAGCAGCATCGGCTGCCGGCTTAGCGGATGGGCTTGTTGCTGTAACCGGAAACGGAGGGTCCGCCGCAGCAGCTGATGCCGCGGCTGCTGCTGCTGCTCCGTCACCCTTTCCGCCAGTCCTTCCTCCTCCGCCTACTGTTTTCCCCGCAGTCGTGGTGCGTCTGTTAGCTAGCATGCTGGCGGCTTCGAGCGTGCTAGTCTTAACGAACGACGCGAGGGCGCGGTCCGCCTGCTCTGCGTCGTCCTCCGCGCCTTCCGTGAGCGCCGCGTCGCGCATGTCGACGGCGAGCATGCGCAGCTGCTCTGGCGTCAGGCCATCCACGTCAATTCCGCTCCCCGACAGAGCGGAAATGCCCGGCATCATGCCGGCAGACGCGGCGGAAATGGCGGAAGCAGTGGAAGTTGCGGGATCGAAATGGCGAAAGCAGCTGAGTTAAGAGCTACAGTGGTAAGTTGCAGTCTGTCGTGCAAAGAGGTGAAGGTCGAGCTCGTCTAACAATGTCGAAAATTGTCAAAGCGGGTCCACTCCACTCCACATGTACGAGTCGCGGCTGTCAGAAAGGTAAGTGGCGGTCAAAACTGCTGTCTTCTCAATGTAAGATGGAAGTGCAAGATTTGATGGGGTTTGGCTGGGATAGCTTGGTTGATGAGCCATGCTTTATGCGGTTGATTTGGGTCGAAATCTTTGTTTCTGGGTACAGTACCGCGCAGTCGGGTAATTCTCTGTAACGACTGGTTCAATCCATTGCAACCCCCAAAACGATTCGTAAAAATATCCTCGCGCCAGCGCACTGACGGACGGTCCAATCAGAGCCTTGTTACATAACTTGTTACAATATAACAGATTGCGCTGGCAAAGCATTTCTTCGCACAGGCGTTACCGTCATGGGGATCTGCCAAGAAGTACTCAAACTTGTCGCCTCCTCGCAAGCCCATCGCGAGACGCGACAGAATAAGCGTAGCTTTGCGGCTGGGGGGCAAATATGTTGAAGCTGCCCGAGCGACCAAGACTGCATGGGGGCTAGGGCGAGTGGGGCAGTGGGCACAACACTAGCTGGTGGTGCTGCACCCACTGTACGAGCCTGGCGGCTGAAGCAGTGGGCGCTTTCCTTCCCCCTCATCCCCCACCCCCACTTTCCCTTTCCCCCCGAGCCTGCTCCCCCCGTCTGCATCCTGGAACCTCGTCACCATTCCATCCAATCACGCAAGCCACGACGCGTGACCTATCTGCAGCCTGGTTTGCCGAACCAGCACGCCATCACGATGACGACCTTGGGTTTTCCGCGTCTCCCAAAAACAAACCAAACCAGACAAGCCTGTTCCTTCCCGCAGGAAGCCAGCAGGAAGTTGACTCCTAGCCATTTCAAACTCGCTTTCGTGTCCTTGAATGCGCTTTGACAAACTATCAGCTCCAGATTGCACCTTCAGGCATTATTAATAGCAACTGCGCGCTTCGTCTCCGCCGCCTATCCTCCGCCACCTGCTCGCATAGGATCTATTTCACTGCTTTCCCCGTCGCCTTCTTTTTGCCCGGAAGCCGCCAAAATCCGCTTGCCAGACGGCCGTAGGACCGTAACGCAAGGTATAACTTCGCTCTCGCTAATCGAACCCTGTTTCACCGTTAACTCCTAGCACTCCTCCGCAGATCTCCCCATCGCCAGCTGCCCTCCTGCCCCTCACCTTCTCCGCGTCTCCCCGCTCCCGTTGCACGCGGTTCCATACACCTAACCGAATACTCTCTCCGGCCGCATCGCAGGGGTTTCTGTTACTCTGTTTCAAACACCCTCAAGGGGCCAGACCCGCAGTGCGTCAGTCACCTCCTTCTCCTGCTGCTGTCCTCCTCGCACCACGCGCACGCGGCTCCTACAATTCACCCGTCGCAAGGACTGGCGAGCCGCCCCGAGCCCCTCACTTGATCCCTCGCACCAAAACTCATCCCGCTCTTCATGCTCGTTTCCCCATACCCTCCCCCGCCTCACGTTCCGCTTCCCCCCCTCTGGTTCCCTCACCCTTTCCACCTCTCCGCCACTCCGCCACTCCGACACCCCGTCACTCCGCCACCCCGCCACTCCGCCCATCCCCTTCCCCCCTCCCCTCATTCAGTCTCCGTGCTGCGCCAGCTGTCGTCCGCGTGCGGGCTGACGTACACCGCATGGGCGGAAGGCACGGATTGCGCCAATGCGCCAGGACTGACGTGCGATGGCGCGGGGATGGTTCAGAGCTTGTGAGTGTCGAGGGGGGTGGGAGGAATGGCAGCAGGGTTGGGTGGGTTGGGAGCATGTGAGTGTGGAGGGGGGAGGAGGAACATACTTTTGCCTCTCTCGTCTTGGCGTATTCCACCTTCCCAGCTTTGGTCACTGTGTCTCCACTCCACTCCACTCCACTCCACTCCACTCCACGCCCTTCCCACTTCTGCCCAATGATAAGCCTCTCTCGCCCTCTGTCTGTCGTTGGCCCATCAGGTCGTTGTGGGATGCGGGCATGGAGTGCGTGCTTCCGAGTTACATCAGCGACCTCAGTGCCCTCACTTCCCTGTACGCGCACTCTCACTCCCTCACTCCCTCACTCCCTCACTCCCTCACTCTTAATCTCACGCACTCACTCACGCACTATCTCACTGACTCATGCATGCACATGGCCACGCACATCCCCACACAGCCACATGCTCTCTTGCTCGTGTGTATGCACGGGTGCTGGCATTGCTTGCTCCATTCCCTCTTCACAGATTGCTCATGGATACAGAATCCTTATAGAACAACCTCAAGCTTTCTCCACTTCCTCTTCACTGGTAGAAAGAAACCCCCCACCTCTCTGTCCCCTTCTAACCACTCTGCAAGCAATCTCATGTGCCCCCGTGCTCTCTCTCACAGCAACCTGAGCAGCAACGCCCTCATTGGCAACTTGCCCTCTGCAATCGGCAACCTGAGCCACCTCAAGTACCTGTAAGCACATCTCCTCTCCTCTCTCCCGGAGACGTGTCTCAGTTTTCTCTCCTTTTTGACACCTGTTGTAGTCGCATGTGCCGTGTCTTGCCAGTCACCTCACCCTCACGCTGCACTTACGTCCCTGAACCTGTCTTGTGTTGCATTGCCCGTGTGTCTTGCATTGCATATTGCCCGGTATGTTGGGCGTGCAGGGATTTAAGTGTGAACAAGATAACTGGCAGCATACCACTGGAGGTTGGAAACCTCTCCAGCCTTCTTTCCTTGTGAGTGAATGTCTAGTGTGGATGTACGCACAAGCTGTTGCACCCAGTACACGCGCATGACCAACTTACTTACCAACTAAGAGTTTGCTGCCATGACGTAGTGTCTGAAAACGTTTAGAGAAAAAGCATTAGTTCTATTTTTGAGTTGTAGAAATTCCACTTCTGAAGTGTGGCTGCTTGATTAAAATAACGCGGGAGTCATTTCCACCGTCCTTCCTCCCCTTCCATTCTCATTCGTGCCTTCTATTCCACGTGACAGTGACATGCGGTACAATCAGTTAACGGGGTTCATCCCCAGCACCTTGGCACTCCTCTCCAACCTCACATACCTGTCAGTCACACATGCGCCTCCTCCGCTCTTGCTCCTCCCGCTCTTTCTCCTCCCATTCTTCCTCCATTCGCTCTTGCTCCTCCCGCTCTTTCTCCTCCCATTCTTCCTCCATTCGCTCTTGCTCCTCCCGCTCTTTCTCCTCCCATTCTTCCTCCATTCGCTCTTGCTCCTCCCGCTCTTTCTCCTCCCATTCTTCCTCCATTCGCTCTTGCTCCTCCCGCTCTTTCTCCTCCCATTCTTCCTCCATTCGCTCTTGCTCCTCCCGCTCTTTCTCCTCCCATTCTTCCTCCATTCGCTCTTGCTCCTCCCGCTCTTTCTCCTCCCATTCTTCCTCCATTCGCTCTTGCTCCTCCCGCTCTTTCTCCTCCCATTCTTCCTCCATTCGCTCTTGCTCCTCCCGCTCTTTCTCCTCCCATTCTTCCTCCATTCGCTCTTGCTCCTCCCGCTCTTTCTCCTCCCATTCTTCCTCCATTCGCTCTTGCTCCTCCCGCTCTTTCTCCTCCCATTCTTCCTCCATTCGCTCTTGCTCCTCCCGCTCTTTCTCCTCCCATTCTTCCTCCATTCGCTCTTGCTCCTCCCGCTCTTTCTCCTCCCATTCTTCCTCCATTCGCTCTTGCTCCTCCCGCTCTTTCTCCTCCCATTCTTCCTCCATTCGCTCTTGCTCCTCCCGCTCTTTCTCCTCCCATTCTTCCTCCATTCGCTCTTGCTCCTCCCGCTCTTTCTCCTCCCATTCTTCCTCCATTCGCTCTTGCTCCTCCCGCTCTTTCTCCTCCCATTCTTCCTCCATTCGCTCTTGCTCCTCCCGCTCTTTCTCCTCCCATTCTTCCTCCATTCGCTCTTGCTCCTCCCGCTCTTTCTCCTCCCATTCTTCCTCCATTCGCTCTTGCTCCTCCCGCTCTTTCTCCTCCCATTCTTCCTCCATTCGCTCTTGCTCCTCCCGCTCTTTCTCCTCCCATTCTTCCTCCATTCGCTCTTGCTCCTCCCGCTCTTTCTCCTCCCATTCTTCCTCCATTCGCTCTTGCTCCTCCCGCTCTTTCTCCTCCCATTCTTCCTCCATTCGCTCTTGCTCCTCCCGCTCTTTCTCCTCCCATTCTTCCTCCATTCGCTCTTGCTCCTCCCGCTCTTTCTCCTCCCATTCTTCCTCCATTCGCTCTTGCTCCTCCCGCTCTTTCTCCTCCCATTCTTCCTCCATTCGCTCTTGCTCCTCCCGCTCTTTCTCCTCCCATTCTTCCTCCATTCGCTCTTGCTCCTCCCGCTCTTTCTCCTCCCATTCTTCCTCCATTCGCTCTTCTCTTGCTCCTCCCGCTCTTTCTCCTCCCATTCTTCCTCCATTCGCTCTTGCTCCTCCCGCTCTTTCTCCTCCCATTCTTCCTCCATTCGCTCTTGCTCCTCCCGCTCTTTCTCCTCCCATTCTTCCTCCATTCGCTCTTGCTCCTCCCGCTCTTTCTCCTCCCATTCTTCCTCCATTCGCTCTTGCTCCTCCCGCTCTTTCTCCTCCCATTCTTCCTCCATTCGCTCTTGCTCCTCCCGCTCTTTCTCCTCCCATTCTTCCTCCATTCGCTCTTGCTCCTCCCGCTCTTTCTCCTCCCATTCTTCCTCCATTCGCTCTTGCTCCTCCCGCTCTTTCTCCTCCCATTCTTCCTCCATTCGCTCTTGCTCCTCCCGCTCTTTCTCCTCCCATTCTTCCTCCATTCGCTCTTGCTCCTCCCGCTCTTTCTCCTCCCATTCTTCCTCCATTCGCTCTTGCTCCTCCCGCTCTTTCTCCTCCCATTCTTCCTCCATTCGCTCTTGCTCCTCCCGCTCTTTCTCCTCCCATTCTTCCTCC